CCACTGTGTCTGCTGGGCTGCCTGGGCTCGGGAGCAGTCCATTAGTTCTGAGAACATGTCTTCACGCGTCTTCTTCTTCCTCCGCCTAATCTGCGCTAGCCTCTGGGAGTGTGCTGAGAGGCTGGGTTGGGAGACAGTCGCAGATGTGTCTGTGTGAATTGTGAAAAGGGAGTGAATTCCTGAGACAGATAAATGAAATTGTATACAAAGAACCTAGTCTTTCTCTGTGAACAAGACCATGCACTGCACCTCTCACATGCGCACTCAGGACAAGGTCGAATTTTCGGCCGTCGCCTTCAGTGCCTGTGGACTTGCGGAGGTCTTGGACTGTTCAGAGAACTGTGGCTGGAGACCTGAACTTCTGGAGCGGGCAATAATGGTAAGCCGCAGACTTGTGGCTGCTTAAAACTCCAGCAGTAGCACTGGCCTCCTTTCACATTGAAAGCAATGCCAGTCTCTGCTGCCAGCAATCAGGACAGCATCAACTCTGCCCCTGTCCCACCCCCTCGCGGCTGTCCCAGGGAAAGATCCCTGTATGCTGCCCCTCTCCCTCCACCGCGTGGCTGTAAAGCAGTCCCAATACTAACATTCCCCTCCCTAATTCAAAGCAGGGCGTCATGAGCGACATCACCCTCCTGAGGATCCCGGACATCCAGAGAGAACGCATGCTGCGGGAAAGCATGCAGAAACCGGGGCCGTATGCCGCCATGCTATGTCGGGCCATGATCCCGGAGTACTTGATTGTGGCGTGGAGGGGGCATGTCTGCTACCACGGAGGGCCCACTAAGATCGCCCTACCCCGGAACCTGATCAACAGGCTTGAGCTCTACCTCCACGAGACCTACGAGGAGTTCTCCTACGAGGATTTCTCGTCGATCCCTGGCCACATTGACCGGATTTTCGCGTAGGTGCACTGGGACTATGGAGTGGAGCGTCTTGGGCCTGGGAATCATGGAGTAACGGACATTGTGAAAATTTTTTAAAACACTTGGGACTAAATTGAGAAGAGCCCAAGACAGAGAAATCATGAAAACCCATTTGTTACCTTTGTAAATATTCCTGTTTTGTACCTGATTATTTTTTTACTAGTTTACAGAACTTTTATAAATGTACATTGTTAATAGTATAAATATTACCGTTCTGTTTTAAATAAATGTTTACATGTTTACAGCACTTACTGCTTGATCCTTCCCCTGATTCTGTGTCCGGGGTAAGGGATGGGGACGGTTGGTACGGGATCTCGGTAAGGGTGATGAAGAGCTCCTGGCTGTCGGGGAAATCAGCGGTGCCAGCGCTGTCGACTGCCTCGTCCTCCTCATCTCCTTCTTCATCTTCCCCGTCCGCTGTCATGTCCGACGAGGAACCGGCCGCGGACATGATCCCATCCTCGGAGTCCACGGTCAGGGGTGGGGTAGTGGTGGCGGCCGCTCCCAGGATGGAATGCAGTGCCTCGTAGAAACGGGATGTGTGGGGCTGGGATCCGGAGCGTCCGTTAGCCTCTTTTGTTTTTTGGTAGCCTTGTCTCAGCTCCTTGATTTTCACGCGGCACTGCGTTGCATCCCGGCTGTAGCCTCTCTCTGCCATGGCTTTGGAGATCTTCTCGTAGATCTTAGCATTCCTTCTTTTGGAGCGCAGCTCTGAAAGCACGGACTCATCGCCCCACACTGCGATGAGATCCAAGACTTCCCGATCAGTCCATGCTGGGGCCCTCTTTCTATTACATTGCACGGCCATCTCTGCTGGAGAGCTCTGCATAGTTGCCACTGCTGCTGAGCTCCCCTCGATGTCCAAAGAGGAACTGAGATTCAAACTGCCCAGACAGGAAAATGAAAATGAATTCAAATTTTCCCGGGGGTGTGGCTGGTCAGAGCATCCGAGCTCGGACTGCTGTCCAGAGCGTCAACAGAGTGGTGCACTGTGGGATAGCTCCCGGAGCTATTACCGTCGATTTCCATCCACACCTAGCCTAATTCGATATGGCCATGTCGAATTTAGCGCTAATCCTCTCGTTGGGGAGGATTACAGAAATCGATTTAAAGAGAGCTTTATGTCGAACTAAATGGCTTCCTGGTGTGAACGGGTGCAGGGTTAATTCGATATAACGGCGCTAAAGTCGACATAAAAGCCTAGTGTAGACCAGGCCTCAGACAAAAAAGGTTTCAAAGTAGCAGCCGTGTTAGTCTGTATCCGCAAAAAGAACAGGAGTACTTGTGGCACCTTAGAGACTAACAAATTTATTTCAGCATAAGCTTTCGTGGGCTACAGCTCACTTCTTCGGCTGCATAGAATGGAACAAACAGACAGAAGATATTTATACATACAGAGAACACGAAAAGGTGGAAGTACGCATACCAACTGTAAGAGGCCAATCGATTGAGATGAGCTATCAGCTGCATAAGAAAAAAAACCTTTGAAGTGATAATCGAGATGACCCATAGAAGGTGTGAGGAGAACTTAACATGGGGAAAAAAAATTCAATTAGTGTAATGACCCAACCATTCCCAGTCTCTAAAGTTTGTTTACATTGACGGGAGATACTGCTGCCTGCTTCTTATTTACAATGTCACCAGAAAGTGAGAACAGGCGCTCACATGGCACTTTTGTAGCTGGCATTACAAAGTATTTATGTGCCAGATATGCTAAATATTCGTATGCCCCTTCATGCTTCGGCCACCATTCCAGAGGACAGGCTTCCATGCTGATGACGCTCGTTAAAAAAATAATGCATTAATAAAATTTGTGACTGAACTCCTTGGGGGAGAACTGTATGTCTCTGGCTCTGTTTTACCCGCATTCTGCCATATATCGTGTTATAGCAGTCTCAGATGATGACCCAGCATATGTTGTTCATTTTAAGAACACTTTTGCTGCAGATTTGACAAAACGCAAAGAAGGTACCATGTGAGATTTCTAAAGATAGCTACAGCACTCAACCCAAGGTTTAAGAATCTGAAGTGCCTTCCAAAATCTGAGAGGGACAAGGTGTGGCACATGCTTTCGGAAGTCTTAAAAGTGCAATATTCTGATGCAAAAACTACAGAATCCGAACCACCAAAAAAGAAAATCAACCTTCTGCTAGTGGCATCTGACTCAGATTATGAAAATGAACATGCGTCGGTCAGCTCTGCTTTGGATTGTTATCAGTCAGAACCCGTCATCAGCACGGACGCATGTCCTCTGGAATGGTGGATGAAGCATGAAGGGACATATGAATCTTTAGCGCATCTGGCATGTAAATAACTAGTGACGCCGGCTACAACAGTGCCATGAGAACACCTGTTCTCACTTTCAGGTGATATTGTAAATAAGAAGCGGGCAGCATTATCTCCTGCAAATGTAAACAAACTTGTTTGTCTGAGCGATTGGCTGAACAAGAAATAGGACTGAGTGGACTTGTAGGCTGTAAAGTTTTACATTGTTTTATTTTTGAATGCAGTTATTTTTTGTACATAATTCTACATTTTTAAGTTCAACTTTCATGATAAAGAGATTGCACTACAGTACTTGTATTGGGTGAATTGAAAAATACTATTTCATTTGTTTTTTACAGTGCAAGTATTTGTAATCAAAAATAAATATAAAGTGAGCAGTGTACACTTTGTATTCTGTGTTGTAATTGAAATCAATATATTTGAAAATGTAGAAAACATCCAAAATATTTAAAGAAATGGTATTCTATTATTGTTTAACAGCAAGATTAATCAATATTAATTTTTTTAATCGCGATTAATTTTTTTAATCGCTTGACAGCCCGAGTAGAAATATTATTTTAATATAGTTTATTTTAAAACTTATTAAGGGCAGCTGCCACTTAGCATGGATTGAAACAGCTTCACTTTTCTTTTAGATCAAAATGTCTCCTGTTTGTGTTGTAATGAAATAGTTTGACACTGGAGTTACAATGCAAACAGCAGACGTTTTGACCCAGAAGAGAAGAGAAGATGTTTCAATCAGTGCTAAGTAGCAGCTGCCCTTAACTGTTTTAAAAATGCACAGATTAATCCATTCCAAGGCCAGAAGGCACCATTACGATCATCTGGTTTGACCTACTATGTGACACAGACCATAGAACGTAGAGAATGCCTTTAGAAAAACATCCTCTCTTGATTTAAAAATTGTCAGTGGTGGAGTCTCCACCACATCCCTGGGTAAATTGCTCCAATGATTAATTACCTTCACTGTAAACAATTTACACCTTCTTTCCAGTCTGAATTTGTCTAGTTTCAACTTCCAGCCATGGGACTATATTATGCCTTTCTCTGCTAGACTGAAGCACCCGTTATTAAATATTTAAAATAAAATCAATAGAATAATTAAACGATTATGTCATTTTACGACACCAGTAGTAGTAGTGTATGCCACAGACATGTCATTAAATAATAGAAAAATAAAAATATTAAACAAACAAAACAAAAAAGAAATAAAATAAAATAAAACAAAACAAAATTTCAAAGTGTTCCAGAACCAACATTTTTCAAAACTTCCATTTCATGGGATATTTTGAAAATATTTTTTTTGTTCCAATCGGGACCAAAACCAAATGATGATGTGTCGAAATTTCCCCCGAAACAGAAATGCCGAGTTTTGACCAGCTCTGCTCCTGAGTCCTGCCCTAGACGGAGCAGTCAGAGAAAGCCCTGCGGGCCATGCTCTACTGTGGCCGGTTGGGCGCCCAGGGAAGCATTTGTTTAGTGGCTGTCAGCCCAGTTCCTAGGCCACAGGTGTCTGCATGAGAAAAGCACCATCACAATTGGCAGCTGGGCCAAGAACGGGCTGTGGAGAATGAACTCCCTGGAGAGACTCCTGTGGGGTGGGGCTGAGGCTCGCTGGCTCGGTGGTACATGATAAGCTTCCTTTACTGTGCCTATTCTGTGGATCTAGAGAGGACTTAAGTGTCCAGGGCTCCAATCTGGCTTCTTTCATGAGCAGCAGTCACTAAAAAGAAAGAGGATCAGAGGTGATCTGCCCCATTCCCATTAACTCCCCTCTGCTCCCCTTCAGATGACCGCATACGGTGCATTCCTTCACAAGGGGTCCTTCTGCCGGAACTACTTCAACATCCTGGATCTGCTGGTGGTTGCTGTCTCCCTCATCTCCATGGGAATTGAGTAAGCACCCGTTGTAGCAACAGGTCTGCCTGTTCAGCAGAGGATAGGGCCATCTGCTGTGCTGTCATCTACGTTGGCAATAGAGACGTAGGATGGGTTAGGCCACTGGTCTGTCTAGCCTAGAATCTCACCTCCAGCAATGACCAGTAACTGATGCTGCAGATGGTAGGGATGCACCTGGGCAGACGCAGGGCTATAGATGGAGGGTGGGGAGTAATTCCCTCCTGATCCCTGTGACAATCAGCCTGTGCCCAGAAGCATGTGAGTTGGTTGATTCCCCTTGCATTAGCATTCATACACTATTCAGTGCCACAAAGTCATCCAGCCATGCTGTTGGGAGTAAGGAAATAAACAACCCCTGAGAATGGGGAGGAGAAGCTATGCCATGAATTGGATACGCAAGGATTTTGTGGGCAGGCACCCACTTCAATCTGGAATTGCCTTCCTCCTCCCCCAAGTTCCTTCAGGACTCCTGGGTTCTGTTCCTCACGGTGGGTGGGAATGTGGGCTAGGGGCTAGGGCTCAGGACAGGGATGTCAGCGATCCTGGGGGCTAGGCCCAACTCTGCTACTGATGTACTGTGCAGCCTCCTGCCCCTAACAGGAATGGTGGGAAGCGCCTGGAAGTGCTGCCTTTGGGGAGCTCTGTCAAACTGGATTGCAATCCCCTCCTAGAACACATGACAGCCTGGCCCCGCCAGAGCATGCTCCCGGCCTGTCCTCCTGCCCCTGCCGCTCTGCACCCCCCGGCCTGCCTCCTGCAGCACACCGCCAGCCTGCCCCCCAGCACGCCCCTTCCCGCTCTGTACCTCCCAGCCTGCCCCCTGCAGCACACCGCCAGCCGGCCCCCCCAGCACGCCCCTTCCCGCTCTGTACCTCCCGGCCTGCCCCCCAAGCATGCCCC